GTGTGTGTGTGTGTGTGTGTGTGTGTGTGTGTGTGTTGGAGTGTGACTGATCGTTTGGATGAGGAGCTGAGGCTTCCAGCAGATGCAGTCTGTCTGTCTGATGGAGCATCTGTTTGTCTGTCCGCTCACTTTTCATCTCTCCTGCTTCACTCGACTGTGTTTTACGTTTTGAAGCGTTCTGAGTTTCCACACTGACCAGCAGACAAACATGAGAGAGCGCACAGAGCGGTCCAAACATTACGTTGTCTATGCCCACACAGACTTCCTGTCAGTAAGAATACATGTTTGTATCTAACAATAAAATCACCCGTTAGGTAATGAAGGTCACGACTCAGCCCTGCTTCTTGATTAGGGGCTCGTCAGGATTTCTGAAATTAATTCAGATGTTTTTATTTGTGACTCGTCACATCGAAATGAGGATTAAGTTCAAAAGTGGAAGGTGGAGAATTAGGCAGATATAGGATTTTGATTTACCGTATTTATTCAAGTATAATACAGTATGTAAAATTTAATCAATAAAACCATCCATAAAGTTGGGGGGTAGTATTATACTCGGCTAAATATTTTTACTTATGTATTTTAACTGAAATATCGGCTTCATTCAGTCTGGAAATGAGACCACGTCGTAAAAAGCAGTTGAAACGAGCTTACCCCTGACAGTCCTCCGTGCTTCAGAGCGAGATGGTAACAGATCCAGGCAGGCGACATGATGTGAAAAAAAAAAAAAAAAAAAGCAGTCCTGCACCTTAGTAATGATAGCGAAATAATGACATTAGCGTGTGACCGGGCTGCTCCTCAAACAACAACAAACACATGTTCGTCTGTAATGGCTGCCGTCTACCGGTGTTCTGAAAAAGTTTGTATCCCTGAAAAATCGTTTCCCCACCAGAGGGGGTGCTGCGAGTAGGAAGTAATCTGCTTTTCCCCCACAAGATGGTCCAAATCTCATGTGAAGTCTCTGACTTTTGTGTTGGCGCCTCCTGGTGGACTATGTGTAAAATGCCAGAATTCATATAATGATGCTACAGCTGATATATATTTGTTGTCAAAATACCTTTTAGTACATATGTTGTTAAAATAAAATGAACAGTCCAATGATCATTTTACTGATGTGTATAGACTGGAAAGGCTGAAAAATCTTGAAGTCTGTATGAAATTGGAGGTAGTTTGAGGATTAATTTTTTAATACTTTTTAAGCTCAAAGGGGGGTCGTATTAAACGTGAGATCGTATTATACGCTAATAAATACGGTAAACATGTGCAAACGTTGCATTTTGTCAAAACATAATGACTAAATGCCTTATCAGTGTATCATTTGAATGAACTGTCTGAAATATAATCCTAAAAAATTTTTTTTGAAGCATTTTTTGAGCAGTTGCAACAACAAACCTGATTTTGAGGAAAAACGCCTTTTAAAATTCATAATTTTTTCCTGTGAGCTAGAAATGTTTTTGTTTCTTTCCAACTGGGAAATCTTAATATACAAACACTAAGTTTCCTCTTTATATTGATATAAAAAATACTCAATAAATTTACATAAAATTAGTATTCAGACCAAATACTGTATTAACTTAGTAGTAACCAACAAGACAAATTAAGTCATATCTCTGGATAAGCTTATGATGTCAGAATGATCCAGGTATCAAAATGTAGCTTTTAAAGCAGGAATCTGAAAATGTGATGAGGTCATTTTGACCAAATTTGACTTAATCCTCGTTTTGATAAGATGGGTCATATATTTAGTTTTGTTTTTTATTTGGCTGCACATTAAACTAGAAGCAGGGAAGCGCTTCAGCGGGTTTCTGAAGTGTCAGGGAGATAAATAGACTTTAGATTTCCATATAGAGTTTCAGTTGAAGCTGTCAGAAAAGGACTTTCAGGTCCTTTGTGGTTTTGATTTGGACCTTGGATCTGAATGTAGACTGACAGAGTCATTCAGCTCTTATTGTGTTTGCAGTATCTCCTGTCTTAAGGGACTATTAGTCCTGTTGTCTGTCTGAGTGTATGTCTGTGTGTGTGTGTGTGTGTTAGCCTCAGAGCACCATGCGCTCCGATGAGTCATCCGACACTTTCATGAAGCAACAGAACATACTGTAAAGGCTGGCTTGACAGAAATAGCCTCTGAATAGAACCCAGTAAAGATTGTTTTTCTCTGGTTCTGTTTATGAAGCAGCTCCAACGTCTCTGTACTTTTTAATCTTCCTGCAACCTTCTCCTCCGTCTCTCACCTGCTAAATCCCGTTGGTTTCTGTGAGATTTGAAGCTCATGAAGCCTTTTCTTTGGTTCTTTACCTGAAGACGGTTTCATGCTTGTTTCGAATCTCGTGCGTGCACAGAAATGTCGTTCCCCGCTCTAAAGAAATCTGCTTCCAGTGTTTCCATTCATGCTTCTCCCTCTCTGCTCCACATGCACACATCAGTATCACCCACCATCTTACATTTCAGCTCCCGTCGCATCACATTTTAGTTCCCCCCTCCTCTCGTCCTCAGTGTCTGTTACCCCCCCTTTTGTTTTAATGCAGGTCTCCTCGTTCACAGTCCTCTTTCTTCTTGCTCTTTTTCCTCCCTGTAAGACTTCATCAGACCTGACAGTCTTTAGTGTTTTCTGCACCAGTGGATTTGCTGTAACTGCAGCGCTAACGGCTCTGCAAATCATCCCGAGCGCTCGGTTTAACTTCCAGGCCTCGGCTCGGAGAGAGTTACGATCAAAGGGCTGCTGAGGAGTCGGGACGCTTTGTTTGACCGTAAACTCACACTTAATCCAGCTCCGTGGGGGGAGGTCGAAACAAAACCGCTCACTCACTCGGTCATTTTAATGGTTTGCTTTTTTTTGTTTAAAAGCCTTTTTAAAGCACAGATAAAAGAACTTAATGGATATTTGTTATATAGAGATAATAAAGTGCTAGGTAACGATGCTTTTTCAAAATGAAGATTTGAAGTGTTTTTCTTTGGCCTTTTTAAATAAGTGATTCTTGGAAACCTTGTGTGTGTGTGTGTGTGTGTGTGTGTGTGTGTAGCTTTCAACAACCGACAAGAGTTTGGAGTTCGACAGAGACTTTCGCATCAGGCACTACGCAGGAGATGTGGTGTAAGTACCTTAAAGTTTTACTCATTCAACGAAAAGCTTTTACTGATGATTCATCCTGTTTTATGTAACCGTTCCTCCGAGACGCTGACAGAAGCTTCAGTTGGGTATTTTCAGGAGCAGATGGAGGTTCTTATAGAAAAGCCTCCAAGGCTGTTTTTCTTTTTTGTTTAGAATTGAACCAAATCTCTTCTTGAATTCGTTCAGTTTTTACACAAACCTGTGTTTATTATGTTTCAGTGGTATTGTTTTTATTATCAGCAAGAAAATTGTTTATTTTCATATTGCATAAATTTAAAAAATATATATATATATCAGCAAGTAGTACATAAATCCCAAAGTTGTTCTTGCTGTACTCATTTAATTGAAACACTGGAGGTGCCCTCATATGTAGATTATGAGGATGCTCCAAAAAATCAATTCACATCAGAATCATGATTCTCATTTAKAACAATTCAAAATCGATTTAAAATGTCCAAAAACCGATTTGGGGAAAAAAAATCCACTCCCGACAGCTGTCAGCCTGTGTTTTGAAACTGGGTGTGGGACATCCTGACGTCACCCTGCAGCTGGTTCTGGAATGTGCAGAAAGCACCAAACCAAAGAGGAAACTACAGAAATGGATGAATCTAATTTCCCTCTTGGATCAATAAAGTATTTTTGAATTGAATTAAYTTGAAAGAGAGATTTTTAAGCAGCCCCATCTTTGTTGAAGGAAAAGATGTGGGCTTATTTTGTTTTTTACCAAATGAATCYGCTTGATACGAGCTTCACTGTGTGCAAGGTTTGCATAATGAGGATGAAGAATAGAATAGAAACAGCCTTTATTGTCCCGCGCGGGGAAATTCCGGTAGRGAAATACCTGTATTCTGGTAATTCCAGAAAGCCCTTTGGGAACACGACAAATGGGCTCACATTATCAGGTTTGAATGAAAAATCAATTTTGAATCAAATGGTGGCCCTAAAAATCAGAATCTAACCGAATGGTGAGATGGTAAAAGATTCCTTGGTTTTGTTAATCTTATTTTAACTTCATGTTGTGTTATGTGTTATATATGTGATGTTTGTTATTCTCAGCTCTTTTTGTGTTGCTTCTTTTTCTCACCTAAGTACAAAATCTTGGAGCAAACATCTTTAACATCTGCTGAAAAGCTGAAAGCTGCTGCACCTGATAACACAGGTGACTGTAAAACCTTTAGTGACAGCAGACTACTCCCGTCTCCATCGGCACTAAAAACCAACAAATCCATATTTCCCCCACTGCAGCGACGAGTTGTTCGTCCAAGTGTTACCTGAGTGTACTCATCCAGGTGTTTGGTTTTTAAATGTCTAATTACATTGAAAAAATCCCCCAAACTACATATTATTGCAAGTAGCAACTGAACTGCTTTCATTTTCCATTTTAAACCCTGTTCAAACAACAGATTAGTTTTTTTTCATCATATTTTACAGCATAGCTGATATAAAACCAGGGAAGAAAAATCAGAACTGATTAATGAAAAATGCAGTACTTGAGACTGACTTGGGACTTCCCTGGTTGAAATGAGAATAATCACAAGAAATGGTCTGTAAATCTGAATATATTTAAGATTTAAACTGATTTGCTGTAACATGATAAGCTTTGGATGGAAAATAAAGTCTTCATGTTTGAAAGTGAATGTTTACATTCTRATCGCTTCTTGTGAAAGTTGAAATCACATTTTAAAATGTTTCAAAACTCAATATTTAACCTTAAAGGGACTATATTATGTGTTTCTTAGGCATATAGTTGGAAAAATCTGTGTTTACGCAGCTGAAAATCTAGATCAAACGTTGTCCCCGCCTTGATGGTGATTAATCTTTGCACAGAAATCTCCACTGTCGTCTTCACTCGTACATAAACCGACATTAACAATCACTTCTTCACACGTTTGAACGCTTAAATGATGGTTTTACTTCATGATGCACCTCATCAAAAACCGCCGGCGCCACTCTCTAATCCCCAAAGCTCCAGGACACAATTCAGATGATTAAATCACACGGTAAGCCCTGGAAAAAGGGCTCTCATGGACTCGGTCGAGCCCATTTGTAAGYGCTAAGTGTCTGCCACCCGGGGGAGGACTCAGGCGGGGGAGCAGGACTTGATTGATCCCCGAGCCACACTTAGACCAGGCTAAGCTGAGAGCCCCTCGCAGCTCTGATATTTATGGCAGCTTCAACACTCTTCTTCATCGTTAAAGCAGGCGTTAACACYAGTATTTAATGTGACTGTAGCTGAGGAGGATTTGTTTGTCCTTTCTGTATGGCCGTAGTCATAACATAGTCAACACAGTCAAAGCTACCCGGGCAGGTTTTCTAAAATAAAAGCATGAAGAGTTTTTCCCCTCTCTGTTCTCCCAGGTACTCAGTGGTGGGCTTTATTGATAAGAACAAAGACACGCTGTTCCAGGACTTTAAGAGACTCTTATACAACAGGTGAGACACATTTAAAACAACTCCTCACTCCAGAAATGACTCTTTGATTCCAAGAAACTTCTCAAAGAAACAACCAGCAGGGGACAATTAATCTGTTCTGAATCACACGCACTTTATACCATCAGATTCAAAGAGTGTTTTGATATTTAGGTGGTTTTTATCTGTTTTTATTTCTCCAGTTCTAACCCGGTTCTGAAAGCGATGTGGCCCGAGGGCAAACTGAGGATCACCGAGGTCACCAAGCGTCCGCTGACGGCAGCGACGCTTTTCAAAAACTCCATGATCTCACTGGTAGAGAACCTCGCCAGCAAGGTGAGGGAGGAGTCTGGCCCCTTTAAACCGTTTCTAATACATCGGACATACTGTATACAGGAATACATAAAACAAAGATA